GCGGTGGTGGGTCAGGGCAGGACACACACCTGGACGTCCACACTCGGGTCGCGGCGGTGGGTCAGCGCAGGACACACACCTGGACGTCCACACTCGGGCCACGGCGGTGGGTCCGGGCAGGACACACACCTGGACGTCCACACTCGGGCCGCGGCGGTGGGTCCGGGCAGGACACACACCTGGATGTCCACACTCGGGCAGCGGCGGTGGGTCCGGGCAGGACGCACACCTGGACGCTGGCAGGTTCCCTGACCTGTTGCGTTAGGCTCTGTTATCGGCAGGACCGGACGCGTAGGCACATGAGACGGGCGGGGTGGATCTGGACGAAGCTGCCGTCGTCACTCCCTGGTCCGGGGGTGAGGGCCTTTGTGTCTGGGCCTCATTTTCTCAGCTCAGCAGTCGAAGGGCTGGCCCTGCTGGTCCCTCCGGGTCAAACATTAAGGGCTCCGTGAGATACATGGCTTTGTTTACTGCTCAGATGTTATATCCTCGATTTCCTGAGTGTTAATCTCTTCGTGCTTGTTATAAAGAAAAATCACTGTACAAAAGGCCTTAAATCTTGGCTTCCTTGAGTCCATATGTCATTCTTCTAGAGGATGACTATAATTCTCTGGGTCTGTTTGTGCAAAAGGGAAGTGACGGCCCCGACACAGCGAGGCGGGAAGATGAGTAACTGCCAGGGAGTTCCGCCCCCCCTCCTTCGGCTTCTGTGCACCCTGGCTCCGACGCCCCGTGCGCCGGGGAGCTGCTGGGGCCGAGAGCGGTAGGAGCCCCTCTGCTTGCTCGTACTCGTCCCGCTGGGGAACAGCCCGCGTAGAGCAATGGGGCCTCCGCAGCCGCCCTGGGGACCCCACGGCACGCAGATTCCAGGGCCCACCTCCGCCCTGCAGAGCGAGAGCCTGCGGGGACAGTTCCAGGTCCCCCTGCGCTCGGGAGCTTGTGCCCCACCAGCACGAAGGAGCCAGTGTCGCCTCTGAACCCAGCTCTGCCTCGGTGCACACGTCCATCCGTCACGACCTCTTCAGGAGCCCCTGACCTGCTCTGAAAAGGCGGCAAGTGTAGGAATGACACCGGAGAGGCTTACTGGCTCGAACTCCAAAATACAGCCTAAGCCTCCCATTTCTTTTCCTTCCTTAAGTTCTAGCCGCCAACATCTCTCACCTGGACGGCCCCTGACCCACCTGGGCGGCCCCTGACCCACCTGGATGGCCCCTGACCCACCTGGACGGCCCCTGACCCACCTGGACGGCCCCTGACTCACCTGGACGGCCCCTGACTCACCTGGACGGCTCCTGACTCACCTGGACGGCCCCTGACCCACCTGGACGGCCCCTGACCCACCTGGACGGCCCCTGACCCACCTGGACGGCCCCTGACCCACCTGGATGGCCCCTGACTCACCTGCATGGCCCCTGACCCACCTGGACAGCCCCTGACCCACCTGGATGGCCCCTGACCCACCTGGACGGCCCCTGACCCACCTGGACGGCCCCTGACCCACCTGGATGGCCCCTGACTCACCTGCATGGCCCCTGACTCACCTGGATGGCCCCTGACTCACCTGGACGGCCCCTGTCTCACCTGGACGGCCCCTGACTCACCTGGACGGCCCCTGACCCACCTGGATGGCCCCTGACCCATCTGGATGGCCCCTGACCCACCTGGACGGCCCCTGACTGGCTCCTTACAATCCACTCATCACAATGCAGCTAGAGAGACCTTTTATCTTATTATTTTTAAACCGTCTCCTAGGATATGTTTTTACTGGTTTTAGAAAGAGAGGAAGGGAGAGGGAGATGTGAGAGAAACATCGATCGGTTGCCTCCCACACACACCACAACCTGGGTAGGTGCCCTGACCGGGAAACCTGCAATGTTTTGGCTGATGGGACCAGGCTCCGACCCGCTCAGCCACCCGGCCAGGGCCACCCAGATGGAGTCATTTACTGTGTGACATCCCGGGTAGTTCCTGTCACGCTTGGAATGAGCCCCACACTCTGCACCTGGAGAGCAGGGCCCTGGGCTGTCCGTCAGCCTCCGGGGTCCCCTGTTCGCCCTCAAGGGTTCAGTCCCCGCTCCCCCGTTGCACGTCCAACACCGTGAGCAGCTTCCTGTCGGGTCTCGGCAGGCCCCGCCTCCGCCCGGAGGGTCTTCCTCCGCCTCCGTGTGCAGCTCAGGGGCCCCTTCCAGCCCAGCCTCCCCGCTCCCGGCTCCCGGAGCCTCCGCCCCCGGCTCTTCCCTGTCACATGTCCCCAGTTCTTTTCTCCAAACGCCATCACGTGGGACATGGTCTGGTTTATCCACCTGCTCCATAGTATGTTGTCTGCCAACCGCCGTGCAAACACCAACTCCTCGAGGACAGGCTCTGCCCACACTGCCCGCGCGGGGTGGGCAGGAAAAAGATGGTTGAGCGAGTGAATAATACGTGAAACCACTTTGGAAAACGTCCACTTTAACGAAAAGATCCAGAGTAGTTTAGCCCTGGAAACACACGGATCTATTTTCAGGACGTTTCCGAGCGGACAAAGGACCCGGAGGAGACCGCCGCTAGGACACGGTGGGGAATCACGGGTCACGGGAAGAATCCGGGGAGCTGGGAAGGGGGACATTTCCCGCCTGAACTAATCTCACTCTTCACGCGAGTCCCAAACCGAGGAGCAACCAAAGACCCCCGGGCGGGAACTCGCCCACCACCGGGACTGGGCTCCCCTCCCTGGGGCTGGGGAGATGGAGCCCAGCCGGCCCTCGGGGAAAGCTCACGGTCCGAGAGCAGGCCAGCCTGGGCCCTGCGTGGCGGCACAGCGCAGCGGGCATGCCCGGGCCCGGGAGCTGGAGCGCCGGCGCAGGGACCGCGGTGACCGGACCCAGAGGAGACGCAGGTCCCTAAGCTGGACCCCTGGTCCGTGATCCTGAGCACATCTTCATACTGTCAGAAATGACTGTCCGCGCAGACAGCAGGCCATGGTCAGTGACTGGGGCTCCTTCCTCCCCTCCTGCGATCTATGTAGTGGATCTAATTATAGTAACTCGTTCCAACTGGGGATCTGGGCAGCCGGATGCCAGGAACACGGCCGGGGAACAAGAGACCCCGCCCCCCACCCCAAAAAAGAAACAAACAAAAAACCAACAGCCGAGCGCTTTTGTGTAATTAAGCTCCCATGTGACGATGAGGACAACTCAGTACTTTCTGTGTCACGGACATGCTGGCCGAGGAAAACGGAAGAATGAACACAGAGGCAGTGGCTCAGAAGCCTCCTCCGGAAAGGGTGGGTGACAGCTGGGGCAGAACCGGTCTCCCCAACGCGGGCTCATGCTCTGCCCCTTCCCCACGCTCGGGTCAGGTGGCTCGGGTGAAAGGGAGGGGCTGTCACCACCTGATTCTCATCTCGAGCCAGGGTCCCCGAGGAACGCGCCCCCCTGCACCAGCTGGGCCGGGGGAGCAGATCCTCAGCGAAGCGGGGGGTTCTCATCCCAGTGAGGAGAACTGACGTGGCAGAAACCACCGTGCCCGCTGCTGGGCACGGAACACTCCACACCTTCCTAACACATGAAAACACACGTGTCACTGTGAAGACAGTCATGAATAGCATTTAGGGGCAGACACCACCGGACCGAAAACCATTCAACGAATAAAAAAGAGAAAAGCGTTGGCAACGTATCTGAATACTTCCAGGCTGTCCCAACCTGACTTATAAGAAATAATGATCCCGCGGATAAGAAAAAAAATGTACCCTAAACCCTTAAAAAAGACAGTCACTGGATCTCACTGGGCCCCCCTGCTCGGTCTTCCATGTCCCAGCCCAGGAACTGTGGGGTCTTCTGCTTTCCAACCAACCAAAGAAGGTACCAACAGCCGCATTTAAGAAAGTGTGAGTTTCTAGTCTATCACGTCTGTCTCCTGGGCTGAGCTGTGTTAGTGGGGGGCAGATGTGTCCAAACAACCGTTCCCCAGGATCGTGAGTCCCTTCCGGAACAAGGTGTGTGCCCCGTCGGGGTTTGTGAGTCCGAACTGCTGAGGGGGGTGGTCCCTGCAGGTGAGCTGAGGGTCGGAATCTCCAGCCAGCCTCCAATCATGCTTCCAAGAAACCTGCTATTTCTATTGAAGGACATTCTTTGGCCATATCTGAAATCCAAAATGCTTCGGAAGAACCGGTAGGATAAACACACGTCGGTGGTATCTGACTGCAAGAGATGTGGGCGTTTAAACCTCTGGATACAACTCCCCTCCACAGGGCGACTCTCATCATGGTAACGGACTTGATGCTTATTTAAACCATTCTTGGATCGTCACCAATCTATAGTATTTAGCTGCACCCCCCGGACAGGGGCCAGGTGGGATTCGGGCGTGTTCCCCATTTGGTAGAGCTCCCCACCGAATGCAACCCCTTTCTGGATTTCAAACTGATACCCTAACAGGGTTCCTAGTAGGCTCGACATGACCTCGTGCTGGAGGCCCCCACGTATCTGCCGTCGGGGGTGCCGAGGGCCGGGCTGCAATGGGGGCAGCGCACAGAAGACGCCGCGGGGGTGACAGCTTGGTCACAGGCACTCGGGCAGAGCGAGGTTTGGACAGCCTGCACTGTGAGCTGCTCATGCCATCGCCACCAAAGAGGAGAAAGGACAAGGGACTCACACGAGCCCCCCGTCAGAGCCCGAGCGAAGACGCACAGAGAGCGCTACGGAAATAAACGAATGACGGGACCGGGGTGGGGACAGCATGTTTCCTGTGTCAGCTTACAGCTTGGTGGCGGGAGAGGAAACAGCTCTTAGCAGGTGTGTTCACAGGAGCGCCCGGCCCCGACACATCACCTCATTTCTCCCCGTCTGCTCCGTCAACATCCTGCCCCCGGCACCACCGGGGAGCGCGCGTCCTACCCAGCAGCGAGCCGGGGCTGCACAGACCGGTTTTCACCAGCCTTTCCCGGAGCCAGATGGCGAACCCCAGCTTACGATCTGAATACCAAGAAGGTCACAGACGACCCGTCAGGGCCCCGAGCTCACCGTAGAAGGTCAGCTGTCCCCTGGCGACGTTTCTCCCTCGGGAATTTTCAGCCACACACTCGTAGGCGCCAGCATCCTCCTGCTGGAAATTGGGGATCTCAAGAATCCCGTCGGACGTGTGTCGCCTGGCCTTCCTCGCTATGGGCTTGCCATCTGCCCGTCTCCAGAGGATCGTGGGCACCGGGCTGGCGGGGAGAGGAACAGCCATGAGCGGGGTGAAGGGAACCCGTGCCCGCCCCGGCGCCGGCTCGGACAGCCCTTCCTGCTCGGCCCTTGGCACGCAGACTCGCCCCGGACAGCGCTCGCCAAACGCCAGGCCCCGTACGACTGTGTCCGCCCCTGCACCTCTGGTGCTATTGTGGACCTTGTAGTAGAGCCAAAGGCCTCCCAACCTCACCTGAGGTCGTCTGTCTTCTCTGCGATGTCACGGAAATGCAGATTGTTACAGGATCGTTGTGTTTCTAAAACTACACCTGCTTTATTCTGAACCATAACCATGGAGATAAACAGGGGCGCACACGTGGCCGGCGGGAGAGGGCCGCCCCTCGAACCCGCGGGCACCCGCACTGTGCCCACCGCTGAAAGAAGGCTGAAGCCAGCTGTGTGGGTTCGAGGCTCGGGCCACGAGAAACTGGCGACTCCCTCTGCCTGCTTCCTGGAGCCCCCTCTCTGGAGCCCCCCACCCTCAGCAGTCCTTCAGGCGTCTGGTTCGGGAAACCACTTAAACCTGAGAGAGTGCCCTGGCCGGTGGGCTCCGTGGTTAGAGCACCCACCGCACACTGAAGGGTCACGGGGTTGATTCCCGGTCAAGGGCACGTACCTGGGTTACAGGTTTGATTCTTGGCCCCCGCCGGGGGGGTGGTGAGTGCAGGAGGCAACCGATCGATGTCTCTCTCGCACATCGATGTTTCTCTCTCTCTTCCCCTCCCTCCCTTCCACTCTCTCTAAAAGTCAACGGGAAAACATCCTCCTCAGGTGAGGATTAACAACATCACATAGTGAGGTCAGAAGAGGAGGGGTCTGGGGGCCCCCAAGGCATCTACCGTGGCAGAGTCACAGGGCTAAAGCGGCTTGAACTGCAAGAAGGGCGCCACCTGGTGTCGGCTGATCGACGGGCCAGCGAGCTAACCCAGCTTTTAAGATGCAGCTTCCTAGCAGGGGACGCACATCACCGAGATGCCATCGCAGGTGGACACCCCTGCACTGAGCCTCTGAGGAACTGAGGCCCCCAGAGGCAGGAGGGCGCTGTCCAAGGTCGCGGCGGTCCCTTCGCATCGGGCGAGGCAGCCGCTTCGCACTCGCTTCTCCAACTACCTAGACAGTCTTTCTGCTCCTAAGGGGTGACGATGAGACGCCCCAGCAGCGGGACCGCACACCCAAACGTCTCTGCACGGGAGGAGCCCAGTTTGGCCCTTCTGTCTTTGTTCTAGCCACGCGGCAGCATGAACGGGCGCGATTCCAACCCCTCTGAAGTGTGTGTGTGTTTGCCTGTGTGTGTCCAGAGATTTCACCCGGAGTCGCCTTGCAGAGCCCGCCGGCCGCACTCCTGCTGTGCAGTAGCGACTTTCACCTTCCCCGGCACTTTCTTAAATGCATCTATTTAGAGTAACACACAGGACCATGCGATACTGTTGGGCAACCTGCTTTGGTCTCTTAGCAGGAAATCGTGGGCGTTTGCCACGTCTCCCGCGTGGCTGTGCCACTTGACTTCAGTGTCTGTGCAGAGCTCAGTCATCAACTATGTCATCACGTATTTTTTTTTTTTTATAATATCCTCGGATGAGGATTTTATTTTATTTTATTTTATTTTTTATATATATTTTTTTATCTTCACCCGAGGACATTTTTCCATTTTTTGTACAGACAGAGTGGGAGGGAGAGAGAGGAAGAGACAGAGAGAGAGAAACATAGATGTGAAAGGGACACATCGAGTGGCTGCCACCCGCACGACCCAACCAGGGCCGGGGACAAACTGCAACAGAGGTACATGCCCTTAGCGGGAACCGAACCCGGGTCTCTCCAGACCGCAGGCCGACGCTCTAACCGCTGAGCCAAACCGGCCAGGGCTGTCATCACGTATTTACTGTGACCGTTTGCAGGACATAAAGGATGGTCACCGCGTTGCCCCTACCAAAGTCAAGCTACTACCATCCCTTACACCCGTGGTTCTCAACCTTCCTGATGCCGCGACCCTTTAATTCAGTTCCTCATGGGGTGGTGACCCCCAACCATAAAATTATTTTCGTTGCTACTTCATAACTGTCATGTTGCTACTGTTATGTCTTTGGTGACCCCTGTGAAAGGGTCATGCGACCCCCAAAGGGGTCGCGACCCCCAGGTTGAGAACCGCTGCCCTATGCCGTCCTGACTGGGAACTGTGGAAACTGAAGGGATCCTCCTAGTGGATCCGAAAATAAAATTTAAAAGGAAGCTCCTTCTCCCGGGGTTGCTGGCGAACACCGCCACAGGAAGCGAGGCTGCGGCTGACACAGGCGTGGGGCCAACGTGCCACATTCGGGCACAGGAAGAGCCGGGGCAGGAGTCAGCCAGGGGTGAGCCGGATGGATGGGGTGCGGAGGAGAGATTCACAAGCATCATTAAAACGCACGGATGGCCTAAAAGCTCTCATTTCAGATGACAGCTTTCGCCGTTTATGCCAAATCCCTTCTGCAGGGTTCCTGGCACAATCACACCCGACTTTCCCTTTCCTGTGCCCGTGGACAGAACCTCTTTGGGAGGGCTAGCGGGTCCCCAAGTCGGCTGAGCTAATGGTGCTCCTCACGCCGAACACTCAAGCTGTGGATGATCTCCAGGCGGCTCCCTGACACAGACGCTCCTGGAGATATCGGTCCTGTCTGTCTCTAGCGAAGCCGAGAAGCAGAGACTCGCAATTTACAAAGAAGTTCAAGGCATGTTCTCTACATCCTCAGAGACTGGGACCCGCACAAAGTCTTCGTCTTCCAAACAGCCTGACTGAGCCGCCAAAGCAGGCAGTCGTCCTGGTCGCTCGGGTCACGCTGACGGGACAGAGCACTTTCCAGAACTGCCCCTGCCCCTCCCTTTCTGCCCTGTCGGGGTGGCAGCCTGGTCCCCCTCGGCCAACACAAATCCCTTTCCTGTGAGGGGACACATGGGCCAAATCACAGATACAAAGGCTTGATTTCCAGACACCTGTCAACCATCGGCGTCTCGGGACGGCCAGTACTCTGTGCCCCCGGGCGGGCAGCGGCGGGCAGGGGCGGGCAGCGGCGGGCAGGGGCGGGCAGCGGTGGGCAGGGGCGGGCAGCGGCGGGCAGCGTTGGGCAGGGGCGGGCAGCGGTGGGTAGGGGCGGGCAGCGGTGGGTAGGGGCGGGCAGTGGTAGGCAGGGGTGGGCAGTGGTGGGCAGGGGCAGGCAGGGGCGGGCAGCGTTGGGCAGCGGCGGGCAGGGGTGGGCAGGGGTGGGCAGCACTTACTTCCCCAGGGCAAAGCACTCCAGCCTGGCCGTGGCTCCTTTGGCGGTCGGGACTGTTTCTGGGAATTGCACCTCGATTTTGGGTTCATATTCGCCCATCACCCCTGCGAATAAAGACAAGGAGCTAAGTCTCAGAGATGCATTTCAAACCGGTGGCGGCCCTTCCCGCTCAGGTTGGCAGCTTCCATCGGCACCGTGGGGCACAATTCGCCCCTTCATTTGAAGTGGTTCCGCTCGCCCAGCCGGGGTGGTGGCCGAGGTCCCGGTGACGGCTACAGAAAACGGTCACAGAGCCACACCATCTGCTAGGATCCAATTTTCTATGCATTCAACGCTGCTACTCAGAAACACTTTTTCAGTTAGTCATGAAACACACACACACACACACACGTGCACACACACACGCGCGTGCACACACAGGAAGGAGAGCAAGTCTTCATCACCAGGAACATCAAATACATTCTGTTTTTGGAAACACAAAGCATAAAAATTTTAAACACTTAAAAAATACTTGTGTGCTTTATTATGTCTACATCAGAAAAACCATTTCTGAGTAATCAATTTGTGGCCACAAATTACTTTCTCTTTCGCATCTGAACTAACCTGACTTGATCAAAAATTAGTACGTGCAAAGTAGCCTCCGAGGCCAGGGCTCATTATATCCTGAAACAATGTACAAAGAATAATAAGAGGCAAGTCCAGGAAACACCTTTGAGTTAGGCCCACCTGGCCAAGGGCATGCCCACCTGGAAGGTGACCATCTCCCACTGTCGCGCATCCTGAAAAATGACTACAGGTATGGCCGAGGTAAGACAGGCTACCGCACGGAGCCCGTGGTTTATGACTAAATACTTAACTATTTATCGGCACGTTTTTGACGTCGTCAACCACTGCTCCGATGTTGGAACACATCCATTTCTATTCTGTGCCTAGTCCTGGCCTGGGCTCTGGTTCAGCTGCGTGCTGTAAAGTCTGGAATCACCCAGCTGACTCGAAAATGACAGCCCCCCCCCCCCAGGCTCTCCACAGTTGGAGGAAGAACAGACTGACGGGGTCGGGAGAAAAGGCTGACAGCAGAGAATGGATGGGGACAGGTGCACAGACAAAGAGATGTCGCGCTGGCAGAGGTGCCCCTATTCCCCTGCGGTCCCCGAGTCTGGCGAGCACACCCCAGTGAGCCGGTGTCTGGAACCCGCTGGAAAAGATCTCCAAGTGGCCAACACGTCTCACACCAACCTGTCCTGAGCACTGAAATACGGCTGCGCTGCAGACTCGGGGTTCCCGACCCCCGAACTGTTGTGTCCTCATCCTAACTCCTGCCGGGGAGGCCCAGCCCTGAGTCCTCGCCTCCAGGACCCTTTGGGTCCCTCCCTGGACACCCTCTTCTCTGCGCACAGTGGTCTTCAATGACCAGGACGCATTGCAACCTCTTTGCCCGGTTCTCGCCGTGTCCGACACTCCTTTCAAACACCGTTTATTGGGGTGAAATTGCCACAGCACGAGAGTGGCCAGCTTCACGGGTGCAATCCGTGGCCTTCAGGAAACTTCCTGAGTTGTGCCACCGTCCCCATCACCGGGCTTTAGAGCGTGTCCGTCACCGGAACTCGACCCCTCATGCCCTTTCCCGTCATCCCCAGAACAAGGCCCTGCCCAGCACCAGCTTTCTGTTTCTACAGATTTGCCCTTTCTGGGCATTTCCCATAAAGGGGTCCGACAACACCAGGTCTTCACACCCGGCTTCCCTCCTCCAGTGCCATGCGTGAGGGTCCGTCCTCGCCGCAGCGGGGTCAGCAGGGGTCAGCAGCCCACCGCCCACAGGTGCCACGGCTCACCCCTGTTCGGGGGCTGTGCTGGTCCCTAGGGATGCTATCACGGAGTGACAGGACCCAGTGGCCTGAAGCAAAGTGAATTTATTCCAGCCGGAGGCTCTAAGCCGTACATGGAGGTGGGGATGGGGCCGAGCTCCTTCTCAGACTCTGGGTAGAGTCCCTCCTGGCCCCCTGCTAGCCTCCGGCGGTGACCACCCATCCTTGGTGTCCCTTGGCTTCCAGCTGTGACACGCCAACCTCAACCTCTGTTGTCACATGACACTGTCTCTGTGCCTCGCACTGTCTTCCTTTAAGGACATCAGTCACATTGGATCACCTGTGCCCTGTTCTAACGGCCTCATCTACAGAGCTGCATTGCAATGGCTCTATTTCCACACGAGGCACCGGGAGTGAGGACCACAACGTATGATCTGGGGACATAATTCCACCCACAGTCCCCCTGGCTGGGCGCCGAGGTCGCTTCCACTTTGGCTACAACGGATGATGTTCCCATGACGCGTGCACACAGTTTCATCGGTCTCGTCCCCATGACTCTCCCACGGATGGCCCTGTCCCGCTTCGAGTCTCAGCTCAGACGACGCCCTCACGAAGCGCTTCCCAGTCAGCGGGGATAGGTCCCTGGTCGCTCTCACCGGCACCCATCCCTCCACCCCACGCAAGGCCCGTCCCTGGTGTTGACACGTGCTCAGCGTCTGTCTTCCATCTCGGCTGTGTCTGTTCTTCCATACACATCGCCAGCTCCGTCTCCGTCTCCTCACTCAGTGGTGCTCGTTAAGACACGCAGCTGGGGCGTAGACACCGCCCGCGACCTCTGACGGGGGCTTGTCCCTGGGCCTCCGCTTCCTGCAGGAATGGAAATGGCCCAGGGCCCTTCCCGCACAGTCCCCGCTCCGCCCAGGGCCTGGGGAAAATGCAGGGACGCGGCCCTTCTCCAGTGACGAAGGACAGCCACGGGTCCAGCGTGGGCGCCCTCGGGCCCAGGAGTCCTTTCAAAGCCGCGTCGTGGCTTCTTGTGTGATGAGTTCACGTACTGAAGACGATGGTTTTCTACAACGAACCGTGCGGGAGGGTGCGATGGTCGTGTGGAGGGAACTGGGGGCTGTCTCTGTCTCACGGCACAGGGAAGGGTCAGAGCGCAGGCTGGCCGGCAGCGACGACCGGCCGCGGACACAGACGGAGGTGGGAGACAGGCAGCGTGGTTTCACCGCTGTTCACAGGACGCTCATCGACACAGCCTGTCTCTACTAAAGTCGTAAAGAAGGAAGCAGCCGTTTCCGTCGCCCGCGCCCGGAACACCTGTGCCGCCCACTGAGCGGGGTAACGTCTGGTACCGGCTACGCTTTCGTCTGACAGCTTCCTCCAACTGAACTGTGTTGGCCCCTCCTTTTCTACGTTGCATTGAGAAAGGCGACTGCCTTTGACATTTTTTTTTTAAAGAAACAACGGCCCCTCGAACAGGAGTGTTTTCCAATCGCTCCTCGGGCACCTGGCCACTTTGGAAGCTAGTTGGTCTGCAGCTGCTCGGCTGAGCCTCGGAGGATTGGGGGAAGAGCCACTGAGGGGCCGGATCCGGAACACCTCTCGGCCTCGGACTGTTTAAAGACACGAGAGGAGCCTGGCTGGTGCGCTCGCTCAGTGGTTAGAGCGCCGGCCCGGGGACCGAAGAGTCGCGGGTTCGATGCCGGTCAAGGGCGTGGACCTCAGTTGCGGTTGGGTCCCCGGCCCTGGTCGGGGTCGTGCAGGAGGCGACCAGTCGATGCGTCTCTCTCACATCTCTTTCTCTCTCTCTCTCCCTCCCACTGTATCTGAAGATAAATGACAAAGTATCCTTGAGTGAGGGTTAAAAAAATGAATAAATAAAACTCGGGGAGGATGCGAGGGCCCCGCCGTGCCCACACGCCAGGCGGGGCAGCAGGTGCAGCGGACGGCAGGGTGAGGCCCGGCAGTAACCTCCCCCCCCCCCTGCACCACACAGACCGTCGGCCTGCGCGGCCAGCGCTGCATGTCACGCTACATAAAGACACTTGTGCCTAATTTGAAACATAAACAAAAAGTGTTAATTCATTTCAATGCATCGTCCATGTTTTCTACTGTTTGGAGGGAGGGAGCCGCCATGACCATCCTGAAGGTGCAGCACCTGAACTTCCATCCCAGGACGTCCTCAGGCGTCGGGGGCTTCGTTCCACGGACGCTCCGAGGAATGAATTCAGTCCACGACCAGGGAACGCCAGCTGTACACCACGCGTGGGCCACGGACCCAGTGGCTGTCAGCGGGACGCATGCAGGCCACGGGTTTAAAGTGCGTCGCATCGTAACGGGGACTGTGAGGCAGCGACTGTTTATCGAATAAATCAGAGCTGATTCCCCATGAAGACAGGGCGAGACGTTCCTGGGTGTTCTTTCTAAACCAGTGGTTCCCACACGGTAAATCACCCTGAGGGCTTCATTTCTGACCTCCGAGTAAGCTGGGATGCAGCCCAGGAGCCTGCATGTCTAACACGTTCCTGCTGATGTTACGCTGCTGGTCCAGGGGCTACACTCGGAGAACTTCTGTAGTGGCCGCAGGTGTTAGTCAAAGCAGGAAGCCCCCCCTGATGTCAGGGGACATCCCCCAGGGGCCGGTTCCGGGGAGCACACTCACCACGGGGTCTCCCTAAGGACAGCGCCCATCGGAGCCTGGAATCTGCAGATGGCCTGGTGGCAACTGTCCCCCTTTCAAGCCCTGGAAAATTATTAAGGCTGATGCTGATGTCTGCAAGAACACGGCATTTAACAAAATAACTGGCAAAATTGCAGGCTATGAAAGAGAAATCAGCCACACACCACGCTTGTTTAACTATAATTTGCAGAGTGCTGTGTTGGCAGAGTTGCGTGCCATACGATTTTGCCAACACCTGCCTTCGCTGGAATCCGTGCTTTGGTTAAATTAAACCACAGAAGGGACTTTCATCAACTTCCACAGAGAGGGGTGATCGGCTGAAAAACAGAAATCGCAGAAACCGTCTGATGAGAAGTCTCCACGTTGACCATGGCGCTGTGCTTTTAATAGAAACTGTTTGGGAATATCTGATTCATCATACAAATGCCCTTTGATGAGTTGATCATTTTGCCTCTTTAAAAAGGCCTGTTCTGTCCTGGGCTGAAGGAGATATTGTGGGGTCCAGGGGACTGTCCAAAGAATCTGTCCCCCTGCTGACCACCACCCCATAGGTCAAGTCCCATCAAATCTGAGGCCCCAGCTGTCCAAACAAGAACCTCCCCGGGCTGGACAGGAG